GTACACATTTAAATAAAACACTTTAACGTTTTAAACCGCGATATATTTTACTACTATACTAAAATATATCGTGTTTTAAACTGTTAAAGTGTTAAAGTCTGCATGTTAAACGGGCTCGTTGGTGTAATTATACCAATGTATGCTAATAATCAACGGTTCGCCCCCCACCATGTCCATCATGTTTCTAAACAATTTATAATTTCCATGGAAAACATGACTTCGTTTGAAAATCTGGTTCGGGTCAAGAACTAGCTATTTTTAATCACGTTTGTTTGTTTAATCGCGTTTCAGTTTTCAGCCTGTGGATTTCCGAATATCCAAAGCAAAGATTGGTTGACGGCGCATCTTGTTTGGATGTCACCTACCATCAAGTAAACCCCCACCCTTGTCTGTCCGCCTCTTTCTTAAAAGGATTTTATTTAGTCAGTGCTAAAGTAGATCAATAAAATTAAAGTATTATAATATCTGCCCATAACAGTTCTCCAACAAAGCCATGGCTCGACTGTTTGGAGAGCTCGGTAAATTCATAGTTTCGTATAATACAGTTTGTTAGCTCTATCTAATTAATTACCGGCTGCAGGAGCTATTTATTTATCTCCGATGGAGGATATTGTGCAGCGGTCTTATTATTAAAACTCTTATTGAATTTCAACTATTGGGATTAAAGTAAAATATTAAAAACATATTTTTATATTATTTAGTATTATGTGTAATTAAACGAAACATTTTGAACGGTTTAAAATGTGAAATATTTGTAAGTTCATTTTTAAAGGACCCGACGTTTCCAGTGTTTTGGAAAGTATATCAAGTAACATATTTTGCATTTTATACCGTTAAGAAGGTTTTATTTAAATGTTGAATTATTTAAATTATACAAATAAAAAATAGTCCGTAGCAATATTCAGAAGCTGAAGAGTTTATTTTTTTTAACGCGCTAAATCTAAACTACTAATTCGAAATAAAAAACATTTATGAGTTGGTTGGACCATCTAAGTCAACAACAACAACAAAAACAACAAAACAAACAAAAAAAAAACAACAAAAAACAACATGCGGAAACAGACGGAAATGTGAAAAAAAAGGCAATTTTTTTTTTTGAGGGCTTCCGTTGCAAGCGCTGCGTAGTGTCAAAAATAACCAAAAAATATGTCTTAAAGAATTATTCTGAAATGATCTAAAAATTAGTTAGCAATAGTATATGTTTATCTTTTAAGATTAAAGCGCAAGAACGATGGGACGCGGACGACGTCGTGTGTAATGTTCTATATAAAAAGCACATTTGAAACATGTTGCAACGCAGCCTTCCACATTTTTATTCTTCCGCTTCACATCCTTATTCCGAGCACATCCCCAATATATCAAGCAACGGATGTATACAATAAAGCTAGCTCCTTGAAGCTAACCGTCTCTGGCAGGTTCGTCGTCGAGGCCAGGCAATTTGGCAGCCATTTGGCCAAGCGCCAACCTAACAAGCCGATGTCTTAACATTTTGTTGCCATGTTCGCCAATTCTCCACGTAATTACTGTGCTAATTATTTGTGACTTAGCCACTGGTTTCAATGGTAACGATTGAGCGAATGTGTCTCAAAAGCTGTTTAAAATGCGTAGTGGTATATTAGTTGTTTCCAAGTTGTTTGCCTCCGTAGCTGTATGTTTAAACGTTGCCAAGCATTGCGTTAAGCGCGTGAGGTTCCTGGTTCAAAGAAATTTGAAGATTGATCTCATATTATATTGAGTTTTTACCTATTTTTCGGCACTAATCTCGACGCTTCTGCAAATATTGAACGTCGCCAGATTAAAAATAGGTGAAACATTACGACGTGAACATTAAGTCAAGTTATGTCGAATTTTTAATAAAATATTTTTAACGGTTTAAAACGCGACATGTATTAATTTCGACGTTTCGGTGTATTTGTCATAAGTAAAAACTACATTTATATAAATGAATTCTGTATTTCAGGATAGCATAATTAATTGCTTAGTTTAGTTTAGTGTCTTTTAGTTTTCAATAATTATTACCTACTTATTTTAAAATAACTTAGTTATAAAATAGTTTATGTAGAAGCATTACTCTTTGAGTTGTTGGAAACGTACAAATCATATTGTTACGCATAATAATTAACCATTCATAATTACAATTTCAGTAAATACATTATGTTTAGTGAACAGGTCATAAATATCGCATAAAAATTAATATGTAATAACCCTTACCAATATGTAATATAGTTTTAATATTTCAAATTAATTATTGCTTTTAAATAAGTGTATAAGGTTCTGTATACCGCACCAAGATTTCTCAATTAAGCTCCAAACATACACCCTGTATAATCATTTAATTATAAATTGCAGCACACCCGTACGTATTTGTACCTTTATCAAAATAAGTACCTCGAGTATTATGCGGGACGATTTATGCAGTAATTCAGCAAGAAGATTAATATTTTGGAGCAATTTAGTTACTACTTCAAGTAAGATATTATACACACTTAGATTATTGAAAAGCATTTATTTTAAAAACTAAATTTAAACTTATAATACACGCTTATTTTTTTACAATGATTATTCTTCTACTCGTCTACTATGTCGATCCGTTTTTTGCACGCGTTTTCCACATTTCCTTCTGTTTCCTCGCCTGTCTTATTAACCGCAGCCCTAAAATCTTTCTCGATAAAAGGTCCAATCACCACAAAAATTACTTTTTGAATTCGAACCAGTTGTTCCTGAATACTGTCTGTAGTTTACGCGAGTATACGCGAAATAAAACACTTTAACGGTTTAAAACGGGAGTCTCAACGGGACCACGGCTGCTGCAAAGCATCCGAAAAGTACTAAAATATATCGCGTTATTCAGTTGTTCCTTGGGTTAGTGCGTTCAAACAAACAACCTCCTCAACTTTATAATATTACTATAGATCAGTAAAACATAAATGTGTTCGCCCCAGTTCAGAGGCAGATACGACCAAATAATAAAACTCATCTTAACAACTTTGTCAAATTCATTCTAATTATACTTGACACACTCTCTTATAACAGCATCCTACGTTTGTGCTGCGTCAGTACTTCACAACTCCACAGTTTTCGGACAAACTAATTAAAATATTTCGCTTACTACATAAAGGTAACTTAAGTGTGGCATTAATTATGGCATAAATGTTAACCGTGGGAAATTTTCCATTTTCAAAACGAATTGGAAAACCGTCAACCGAACGAATATAATGAGAATTATGTTCTTATTACTTTATATTTTATAATGTACCCACTCTCTTTCAGAGAATAAAATATTCGTTTAGTTAGATAAAATGTCAAACTATTCTTTCCGATGTAATATATTGTCTGTATAGTTTAAATTGAGGATTGATATTTAATATTGAAAAATAAGTTAAAAACATATTGTATATTAGTATAAAAGTATGCAGACTATAATATTTTAAAAATGTTTTGTGGTCATCTTGCAAAACTTCTTCGGTTGTCGAGCTGTCTGGCCCTCGTAATTGAAAATTCGTCGACATTTCGTCATTACGAATTGGTGATTTCATCAAAAACGTTACTCGATTAAGCGACGACTAAACTCGAATACCTAAAAAGGGGTTTTAAATACAATTATTATACATTAATATTTGCATATTATTTACAAAATTAAAAAGAGTTTTAGTTCTGAATTCCATTTAGCAGATAGGCCAGGTTTTTTTTTTTGACGATGCAAAATTTAATTACCTAAATTGTTTTTTCTTAATTGTACCTATGCTACTACATAATCTGTTATTATGTGTGTATTTATTTTATTGGTTTAATTAATAGGAAATTTCTCAATAATTTAACGAAAATGTAATTAGATTTTTACTAGTTAAGAAGTTCTAATTGCACCTGGTCTGCTGTTTCATAAAAACTATAATCACTGTTTAAATCTAAATGTTTAATATTAAAACATTTCATGACATTTGTACACATTGTTACAATGTGTTTTTTATCGTTCGTAATTACTTCTCATTATTCCTCGTAAAAAGTACAGTGGTTTTACGGTTAAATTAAATTTTATTGCTACAGCGGTCGACTTTTATTTCGACATTATTTCCGCATGATGTACAATGCTAGTTATATTATGCAACTAAAAAATGACAATAAGATTAAAGTTGATAATTACCTTCACCAATGACTTAGCTAATAAAACTCTATTATAAAATTAATCAATGGCAAAGGTTTATTAGACTTCAACTTAAGGTTATTTTAATTTGAACTGGTATTATATGAATACTTTAATATTTATAACATCTTCCTTCGTTAGTTACTTGCAATTCTAAGTGTTAAATTTTGAAGTCTTTATGTCTTCGAGTTCCACTGGCTTAAAAACACTATGCGTTAGCAATAATATAAATAATAATCATACTCGTATACACAATAAATATAAGGTACACGCAATTCTTCACTAGGTACAAAAACATGTTTGAAACTAAGAATATTTATTATTTAAATTCTTATAATCCTGCACAACGTTCAAATTAAATTCTAACAACAAACGAAACAATATTTTGTCGTAAAATCACGCTCATGAAATAGTATAATGTTCATTTTAATAGACATAGTATGTCTATTCTCGTGTCACCGCATTCTACCCACAAGCGAGCGCTTCTGAAGCCCTGTATTAAGTGCTTCATGACTGACAAAGAAATAAAATGTGAATATTTTATAAAATGCTTTTTGTAACTTGGAACTCATAATACGAAAATATATTTTTTTAAAGTGATTAAACATTTGAGCGTCGACTGAGTATAGAAGTTTTATTAAAGCCAATGGAATATTTGAAGGTATCCGCACATACAGTTTATCAAACCTCAACCTATTTACTGTCAAGTCTAGGCACAGACTCGAAATTGACATAAACCTCAAAGGACTGAAATTGTCAACATTGAATTCATACAAGATTTACTTTAATATTTAAGAATTATTGTTTTAATAGAAATCTTTAAAATACAAATATCCGTACAAATGTAACACAAGTGTTCATGGATGACGAAGAGAAATCATTACCAGACAATGCTGATAATCAAGAGGAATGTGGAAAGAATATATTAGGTAAACCAGTATCGCCCGAACAAAATGCCGCTGGTCCGTCCAGAATCATCACTTTGCCTGGATCAGTATCTCCTCCGATACACAACTCAAAACTACATCTCAATAATTCAGGGCGATCTAAATCCGAGCACAGCATTCGAACTAACATAACAACAAAAGATCTAGCCAACGCCCTCAAATTGACGTCCATGAGCTTTGAGCCGAAGACACTGCCACACATAAATTTCAAAGACCTAAACATTCCAATACTAGATAAAATTGAGAAAGACGACAATTCAGCCACGCTTATCGAACTAAAGAAATTTATGGCGTCTTGTTTTAAACATAAAGCCGGTCAAGATAGACCGAACGTTCAAAACGTCCAAACAGCTATAAACACAATAACGAACGATCTCGTTCTTAACGTTCCGAATGCAAGTTGCACTGCTAAAGTTCCGAACGTAGTGAACACGGTAGATCAGAAACAGTCTAAGGATAAAAAGAAGACTTCTGGAAGTCTCTCCGATAGATCTGAGTTTGCCGTTACGCAAAGGGACTCCCTGTCGAGTATCGGCTCAAATGTTTGCAGGATTTGCATGACAAGAGGACGTGAGAGGTTAGAAGGTCGAAAGTTAGACAATAAAGTTCAATACAAATTGTATTGAAGGGTCTAAAACTTGGCGAAGATCGTTTTGCCTAATTTTGATGTATTCATCCGTTGAGAGTTTTGTTTGGTGGTCCCGTAAACTTTGTAGCTGGCTTAATTAAATAAGTCTTATAGGCATTCGTATATTAATATAAGCGTTTTTAATCATAGAGGGGGGGCAGATAAACATGGAGTTCACTTGAGAGGAGGTAAAATACACCAGCCCTATAACATCTACACAAGATGCGCTGTTGACCTTTTTTTTATCTAAAAGCTTTCGATATTCTCAAATTCACAGATTGCAACCGAAAGGCGTTTAAACATCATGGCTCTTTCATCTGTGGACAGTGGTTCGTGACCCGGGTGGAATTTCGATATTCCTGCCGCCTTTATAGCTAAATGGTTAAACGTGTCGCCTTGCATTGCGTTAAGCGCGAGAGGTCCTGTGTTCTAATCCCGGGGAAACAGTAAATAGTTTCGGTCGGACAGGAACGGACGCAGAAATGTGTTCGCCCTATGCACCACGAGGGGAAACGGGATTTCACTTGCCCATTTAATATCCAGATTTCCAGATGAAGTTTAATATGTTTCAGAAAAATTTAAAGCAGGTTGAACTCAGTGTAGATCGAACCCACGGCCTGTTGATTATTAGCCATACATTGATACATTAGACCAACGAACCCGACAAAAAAGTCAATTATTAGGTGACCTGTGCTTGGCAAAGATTTTTTAATATGATATTTCAAATAAGAAAAGCAGAACATTTATTCATTGATGTAAATGAGAAACTTACATAAGTATAACCGAGTTAAATAAACCAATACCACATTTGATGAACGCACATAACTGGATTAGATTACTTTATAAAAGTTGTCTTCAAGTACCCACAACAGTTTAACAATGAAAAATGTTGCTTATTTTTATCCGTACTCGAGTTCTTTCCATCGCAACGAGCTCTACTCTGTCCGGTTCTATATCCGTAAAACAATAAGCCGAGGTTGCCAGACAATAGGAGCTTTCTAATCAATCGCCATATCCAGGTTAATATCGCCGTGCAACTGCAAGGGCTCTTTGGCAAATGTACACTTATCCTGCCTGGAAAGGTGGCTCAATCAAGCCGGGAGGAACCATTGTGAACTATGCGGATTCAGGTATTCTTTAACGTTTTCACTAGAATCGATGTGGCTGCAGATACAAAAGCGGAGTTTTTATACACAATTGTTTCTCAGACTTTCTATAGATTTTATGTTTGAAAACTTTTAAACAAATTTTATTTTTATTTTCATTCGAAATTTTACATTTATTTGTAACATAAAAAAGCGTCAACAAGAACTCATTCGAGTTTTTCCGTCATGTGTAATAATTCACATGTTTAAATAAAACACTTTAACTTTATTTGAAAATGATTTTTAACTTCGGCCCGACGTTTGGAATGCTTTGCAGCAGCCGTCCGTGACCACGGCCGTCGGACGGACGGACGTCGGGCCGAAGTTAAAAATCATTTTCAAATAAGTTTAACTAATATATCGCGTTTTAAACCGTTAAAGTGTTTTATTTAAATGTGTACTACTCGCGTAAACTATAGACAGTTTTTAATTCACATGTTATTACACATGATGGTCTATATAGCTAAATTAGACGCGGTTAGAACATGACCCGACATCCACAGCATTCCGTGTCGTTGCTCTAACCGATTGAGCTACCGTGTACACGTCATCGTCGATTTTTCGACCTTAACATTGGCGTATTAATTAGTCTCTGCCCGATTCGTATTTTTTTTTTCAATTTATAACCGATTTTTATTTTATAAAAATTTTATAAGTATCGTAGTAGTAATTATTAATATAAGATTGATTTGACGTTTTTAGCTGCATACAATTGTTTTATTTAAAGATTAAAACTTTATAGCCCTGTCTTAAGCAACACGTTTTTTTAATAACGAAATAAATATAATCATGCCAATATTAATTATTATAAAGTAGAATTAATTACATAGTAATCAAATTTATCTATAGAATGTAGCATTATAGTGTAAATATTAATTCAATAATGCTATCGGTTCGCTAGTTCATTAATACTACGATGTAAGAGAAATTGTTCGAAGGTAAGTAAAACGCGCGCCCCGTTAATGAAACAAAGAAAATAGAGAGAATTTTAGTTAAAAATCGAGTAGAGCTCAATGGATCGGATATCTTGAGCTAGATAAATCACAACGACTAATTACGTACAATCGAGTGGATTACGAGACTGCATTGTGCACGTACGGGTATCCGAACTAAGGCTTATTCTTTTTTTAAAGCCATAGATTATACGACGTTGTTTGTTTTAATTATTAGATTTTTTAATCATAGATTATGATAATCATACTTTTTAATTAGAAAATATGCACACTAATACCTCCTTGATTGTTATTTTACTAATGAAGAGTAAGTAGTGGGGGGGATGCATTAAAACATAGGGAGTTTTTAGCAAATACAGTTGAAAATTAATTATCCTCTAAATCATTGCGTAAGGTACGATTTAATTTCACCATAAATCCCATACATTTTGCTATTTCAGTTACCCAGCGATCCGGACGCCTCGTTACACTGTGCTACAAGCGCTTCGACTATGGTTCGGCAATCCGCGAAATAGGAGCCATTTACAGGTGACTCATTTAGCCGCCATCTTGTGACCATATTTTTGACATTTCATGTACTACCAGTATTACAGATAACAATATCTGTAATACTGGTAGTATATAGTCTTAACAGTTATGAGATGGACAAGAAATGCATTATGTATGTAGGTGCTGCTAAACTTTTCAACGTTTACACATTCTGGGCACAAAAAGGCGAAATATATTAAATTTAACAACATTAAATACTGTCAGTAGTTTAACTAATATATATCGCGTTTTAAACCGTTCAAACGTGTTATTTCAATATAAAAACATTTATAACTTAGGGATAATCATAAGATATTGTTAATGTTACCACGCTCTTGAGGCTCTTGTATCCTAGAAAACAATTACATAGATTTTCACGCTGTCAGGTACGAAAACGCTGTAGAATATTGTTCTATGCGTAAAGTGCAAAAAATCATCGCCACAGTAATGCCCGGTCCATTTCGCTTCGCGTACCATTTGCGACCGGCGGACCGAAGGTGATTCGTCTTCACATTTTTGCCCGCACGCCAATTTTATTTTCCCTTTTTTTTTGTAACAATTTTTTCTGAACGATTCCAATCGGCCGACGGCTTTTAAAAGGCCATTTGTGTCAATACAGTTTGTTTATAGCGGGGCCCGTGTCACTTGAGATATATGGTCTTGTATATATTCACGTATTAGGTACCTTATTACAAGTAAATCAAGTAAATTTACGCTGAAAAATAAACATTGATGGCAACCGTTTTTATAAAATTTTAAGTTACTCCTTAAGTTAGAATTTGCCTATCACAATGTCTTATCAACTAAAAAGTACAAACTCATAATGAATTTAAGAGGAAAATCTACTGGTAAAATGTGTAACTTAGTAAGCAATTACCAAAGTTAACTGTTGTATTTATTTTTCTGGTAATTGTTTCGAATGATCGCCTCCGCAAATACTTAAGCGTGTTTCCCAGCATAGCGTTAAGCGCGAGAGGTCCTGGGTTTAAATACCAGGAAACAGGTTTTAATCGAGCAAGGCACAAAAGCCCGATCAACAACTTTCTTGTAAAGAACCGATCAGCCCCTCGTGATCTATGGGAGGGATTTTTCTTTTTATTGTTTACATCAGTCTAGTCAAATAAAATCTTAACAACGTGCGCTATCGACCTAATTTGGACCACATTCGGAAATCCACAGATTGAAACAGAAACGCTAAGATAACACTTTACGACTTATCCATTCGTAGACGAATCGAACTAAACGAAAACCACTACCCGTTGATTTTTACCAAACGACACAGCTCCATTTGACCCACAATATTATTGCCAAATTAACCGCCGTATTTTAATATAAAATGAGGAAAAATTAAAAATTATTCATATATGTATGTATTTTATTACATAATTTGCTTTAATTTTGGTTTTACTTTTTGAGCTGTTTCATTAAATCAGTACGTTAGTAATAAGTATATTTTTATTTATTATGATGTTATTAAAATGTATTATATGTGAGTTTTATTTAAATATATCATTATATTTAAATAAAAAAGAAGTACACAACTAATGACTACCGCTAAGATTACATAAAATGTCTTAAATTGTCCTCAAAATACAATTACCTTTATCGGTTCCATATTTACATTGAATGAAGAAATATTAAATATGCTCTTGGGGAAAAAGACCCACTTATTACCCGTACATTTCACCCCTTCGATATATCTCTTAACAAGAGCGTATTGACTACGCCGCTTCACGCTTGAATACCCCTCCAAGTTTATAGCAGCCTGGTACGTGACGTTAAAAATATAGGAAATTAGAAATATTCTTTTCATATCGACGACTACTATTCAAGGAGGCTTATGAAAAAAATACTATTTTGATATGTTTATTTGCGAAAAGCAGCCTCCGTTTTCTATCTACCTACATTTGTTTATGCACAAACTCCGATAAAACATTGGTAACAAAGCATTTATTTCGACCAATTTGATTACCATAAACACGGTCGCGTGAGTTAATCATGGATTGTGTAAGTTAATCTTAAAAGATATATTGTCGCGGACCGTTTCCGGAATGCACGCAATGGAAGCTCTCAAAGATATATGAGAATAATTATTATCATCGACGTTTTCTCATTTCCACTATTTCTTAGGTTTAATTTGTAAAGCGTGTTGAATGTTATAAGCCTCGATAAATGGTTTTTTCATCACAACAAGAATTATTCCATTCGAAACAATAGTTCCCGAGATTAGCGCGTTTAAACAAACAAACTCAGCTTTATAATATAAGTATAGATGTAAAACAATATCCTATCAAAATGACTCCTTAATTGAATTTAATATTTGTAATCTGTTTAGTATCGTATAATAATAATTTAAATAAATGTATGTATGTTCAGTATATTGTATATAAGTACATGAATTTCAAATCAAAATATTACATCACGTTTTAAAATGAAATAATTTTAATCGTATTTATTTCTCTTCAGTATACATTTTTACTTATATAAATGGTTATTAATACATAAACAAAATAATCTTATAACCTTATCTTGTTCATTGGTCGCGTAAATTGTATCCGAAAATAAAATGTCGGTGTAAATTAGGAGCTGGGGTGAAATTGGTTGTAGTAACATATCCATTTGTATGTAAATTTTGTAAGTGGAACGCCTCTTTGACGATGCAAGGAGCTAATAAGCTGAGCACACCTGTCCTATACTTCTGTGTATATCAACTATTTTAGTGAAAATACAAATATATATCTGTGACACAAATATGGAACAATATATATAATCTACGCTAGTATGGTTTAATGGTTTCACGTTTCGGTTTCAGTCTAAGACAAAATAGGTCGATAGGCCCATGCGAAGTCTGTTCTCTTCTATCATTAAAAAATTACCAGAAGAGTTTTTTAATGAAAGAGTTTGATGGTAGGTGAAATGACCACAGTCACAGACTAACATCTAAACAAGATGCGCTGTTGGCCTATTTTGGCTTTGGATATACGCAAATTCACAGACGGAAATCGAAATGTGTTTAACTTCAAACCTTTTTCATCTATAGACGGACGGTATTTCGATATTTCTACCACCCATACAACACCCAGATTTTAGACGAAGTTTAACATAGGGTCAGAAAAAAAATATAAATTTATTAGAACAATGTTGGACTCGGTGGGGATCCCACGACCCATTGAATGTTTTGTCTTTAAATATCTCTTCACATGCATTTGTTTGCAAGCTGAACTGTTGGTAAAATTCCATCGCAATAATTAAACAGATTTGTTGTTCTTAAGGAGTATTTTCTCCGAAGCACAGATTAATTAAAATGAAGTCTCGCAGCTTAGGACAAAGACATTTCTGATTTCGTTTTATAATCTACTCTGTGACTGTTTCTTATTCCTGTCTAAGCTATAGCGATTATGTTCCGTATTATATAAAAGTCTATTTTTTGTTATTCAGTCGTTTTATTGAGATCATGTATACTTTATCTGTATCTGTAGTTTACGCGAGTAGTACCTACACATTTGAATAAAACATTATTCGGTTTAAAACGCGAAATGTCTCTCCGCGACCACAGTTAATGCGAATCATTCAAAACGTCGGGCAGTAATTATAAATTATTTATAAAGTTTAACCAGTACATTGCATGTTTTAAAACTTTAAAAGTGTTTTATTTAAAAGAACGTATGTTTTAACTAATATACTTATGTTAGAATTAAAGATTAAACATAATAATTGTCTAAATACTTCACACGTCGCGTAAACTACGAATAGTACACATTTAAATAAAGTACTTTAACAGTTTAAAACCTGATATAAATTAGGTAAACTGTCGTGGTCACGGGGAAACTGCTGCAATGCATCCGACACGTCAGGCCGTACTTAAATTAATGTTCAAATCGCGTTTAAAACCGTTAAATTGTTTTATTAAAAGAATTTTTGTTCATTTATTCAAATGCATAATACAATATACTTTACTGGTTGACCACGTGCTGCCGCTGTCAATCAAACTTCGGCTGTTTGACGTGACGGCGCCATATTGGATTTCCCTGTCGTCACATGACATTGAATTACTCAAGGCCCCGCCTTGGAAACGAAATTATTTGCGTATTTCGCACCAACCTAATTTATCTAAGTAAACCTCTTTATTGAAAGGAAATAATATTAATGAGGTACATGCATATACAGCTTTTAGTACAACCTCGTATGTGTAAATAAATTAATACGCTTTGAAAATGAAAATTTTAAAATATATATTTCTTCAACTTACCTATGTATATATTTGATTTGATTACTAATCGTGAATAAGGCTTTAAAAAGCGCTTAGGAACATCCACAAGCTATCGTTTACGCAAGTAGTACACATTTAAATAACATTTTAACGGTTTAAAATGCGAAATATATTAATTATTAACAATTTATTTTACTTCGGCCCCACGTTTCACATGCTTTGTAGCTGCCGTGGTCATGGGTGATTATGTGGACGAAAGGGCGAAAAATTATATTTGTTACGGAAATGACAACTTATAGAAAGTGTTTCGAACGAAATTACATGTATTGTAGGATCTTGTTACAGTGTTTTATCATATATATTAGAATACCTGTGGCTTAGTACCGGACTAATAAAACTTATACGAAATTTACAGTCGGACTGCCTGATCTTCTGGCTACTATCGACAGTAACCGCTGGTCTGCTAGCCGTGTGCATCGTGGGCACGCAGTACTTCGTGATCGAGGGCAACAAATTTGGTAAGCTCGATGCTGCTAGAAAAGATGAAGGTGTGTTGCTTGCTTTATTTTTTATTTTTTAAGTAGTTACACGAGCTACAAATATCCTACGAGATATAGGATTGACAGATTTGTATGACAGTTCTGTCTGACGTCATGTTTACCGGGATTGGGAGCCAGGATCTCTCGTACTTTACGCCACGCAACGAAGAAGGATTAAAAGAATTGAATTAGTACACATTTAACGGTTTCAAACCCAAAATATATTATTTTACTTAATTTAACTACGACCCGATGTTTTATAGCTATACAGAAGTCGGGTAAAAATTCAAAATAATAAATTTTACATAGTTAAATATAAATCTAACTATGTAAAATGTTAGAATAACTTTCAAAGAAGTTAAGTTAAACTTATTTCTATATATTTCGCGTTTTACACCGTTAGTGTTTTACTTAAAGGTGTACTACTCGCGTAAACTACAGACAATATTAAATAAGAATATAATTATATTTTGTCGTAAATACATTGTTTTTTCGCCATAAACGAGGAAAAGGTCTACGATAAGTCTACTTAAATATGTCTATAGTTTAGCTTTTCGCGCTAAGAAACTTAACTATTAACTCGCTGAGCTTTCGAAAAGTTTTCCTCAGACGCTGATCTTTGAAAACTATTAATGCTATTACTTATTATAAAGTTTTAAGAGGGATTATTGTTCGAATATCAGTGTTGGGACTAATGTCCCATCGTAGCTGAGTGGGCTTCTTTTCAGAGGAAACTGTATTTTTATTATTTTATCTGTTTTTAGTAATTTAATATTTTATTTGTAATTCTTCGAATATTATGTTTGTTAAATGCCATGTGTTGTAAGAACATACTTTTTTTAATGTAACCAAACCTAACCTCAAAGTAATAAAACCTTTAATATTTTTCACATGTTTGCATTATATAAATTAAAAATCGATTATAAGTTGAAAAAAAAATCGGTTTGGGCAGGACTTGAACCGACACCGTAAGCGTTCCGTGCTGTTGCTCTACCAATTAAACTACCGGGTCGCACACCTTAATGTCGATTTTTTTCAACTTATTGACACATGAACCTCTCGCGCAATGTTATTTCATCCTTAACATTTGCGTTCAACGCACACACACACACACACACACATGAAGGCACTATATAATAGTTCACGTCCTGCCCGAGTCGCAATTCTTTTATATATATTTACGATTTTTAAATTATATAAGTGCCTTCATGCGCAATTAAATATGTGAAAAATATTGAAGTTTCCAAGTGTAAAATGTAATTTATTAAACTTTTATACAATCAATACTGTTCCAGACAGATATGACGTAAAATATAGTCCATCAACGTTTCATTGCAGGCATATCCCACCGAATAACAGAGACCGCCATGGACTTTTTCATGGCAATCGTACTCTGTGGTTACTCTGTGACAGTTTATCTTCTGTGGAAAGACCACTACGTCATGTGGAATAGGTGGCGGCGGGCTAACGTGAATGTCAGATTACTTTTGTCCCCAGATGCGAACCCTGTCCCATTTGTACCGAGGCCTAGGTATAATGTTGTTTGAAATTATTATATTTTGAATAAAGAGTTATTATAATGAGCACTTGTGTTTTCAACATGCTACGGTATATCCTAACCAGGACAAGAAAGAGACACGTAACGTTTATTTAAGGTATTTCCACGACCCCAACCGAGGATATTTTGCACGTAAAGTAATACTAGGGATTTATTTTTGGAGTTCGTAATAAAGGAGGAAGGAAATCACAATAATTAATGTTTGAAAACTTTAATATTTTTAACATGTTATTGTACATGATGACACTATATAATTTAAAAATCGAAAATAAATACTGTCTATAATTTACGCTTGTAGTACACATTTAAACAAAACACTTTAACGGTTTAAAACACAGTCCACATAATGTGATGAGTATTACAAAAGCTATAGAAAGAAGAAGAAAAATAAAATGTGTGTAGCTTGTAAACCTATATATTGAAGCTTAGCTTATTAATGTGTGTGACTTTGACACACAATTAAACGTTATCTATGAAACGAAGGTCGTTTGTAAACACGACGACAGTTCTTAAAAGTGAGTAAAATTTCCCCCACCGCCTCCATTGGCGGAGAATAGGAATTGCCCATTAAAGTATAAAGCTAGCCGTTACCATAAAACCACTTTTATTTTCATTGTTACTTGGGGCCGTGAAAAGTAATTTTTGCAAAGTTTACACATCGTTAACATGCAGCAGTCACAGCAGTGATTCGCCACCTATTGTTGGCCGGCTTCCAGCATTGCGCTCGCCGTAATAAAATAAACACTTTGAGGGGCAAGGACTTACGGACACCGGCACTTTTTCGTCGCTTTACATTATATCGACTAAAGCCTTGTGTACAGTGGAGTTATTTATTTACAAACACTTATTCTTAACAGGTTTATCTTAATGCGACAGTAAATTATAAACAGATATATTACAATATAAATCTATAATAATATTATAAATCTGAAGTTTGTTTGCTTGAACGCCCTAATCTCTAGCACTGGTTAAAACTAAAAAAAATATTTTTGTGTTAATTCGATCATTTATCAAGAAAGGCTTTAAAAATTGCATTGCGACTAATAGGAGCGAAGAAACAGCGGGAAATGTGGGAAAAACGGAGAAAGTTTTTCATCTTTGAGGGTTTTCGATGTGTGCGCTGAAAAGCGGTTCAAGACCCAAAAAAAAATGCACTAAGTAAGTAAGCAATGCTTCGCTTTTTATTAATTTGAAAAATTGTACATAAGAAAAATTGATTTGGTACATTGGTCAGCCGTCCCAGAACATCCGCGTTATTCGCCTGGCCTCCTAAAATTCGAACCATATATGTAACTAAAGCCCGAGCTGATTCTGAACTTAAACAAAGAGTGGGTGGTATTCACACGGCTTCTTTGTTCGAGTGGTTTAGTCCTAACAGGAATAGATGTTGATCACGAACTTCATGGTTCGAATCGTAAGTCATTTGTACAAACATTCCAATTCCATTTAAATAAAACATTTTAACGGTTTAAAACGCGAAATATATTAAATGAACTTATTTGAAAAAAGTACGGCCCGACGTTTTTGAGGCTTTGCAGCAGTTCCACGGCTTTTTAATTTTGTCGTTTATTTCGCATTTTAAACCATGAAAGTATTTTATTTATACGCGTTCTACTCGCGTAAACTACAGTACAACTACCACCAGACCCGAGCTTGATAAGCCGTCGCGTCAGTCCAGGTTCAAACTGTATTCTTGAAAGTGGAGACTTGTTCCCAGCAGTAGGACAGTGATAAATTGGAACGCTTCCGAGAATCAATTTTGAAAATTGTTGCCCAAGAGGTTCCAAGTCTAGGAAGTCGAGGAGACGAAATGTTTCCGTTAGGTAAAGTTAGAGTAGGAGTTACAATTACGTTCAGAATTAGAAACACAGATTATAATAACACAACAGTATTATAATATTATTAACAAAATAGGATAAACTCGAAAATCCGACAAGGTTACGAACTACAGGCCACAGATGAAAAAGCAGTCAAGTTTAATCGCGTTTCGGTTAGTCCGTAGAGATCTGAATATTCAAAGCCAAAATAGGGCAACAACGCATCTTGTTCAGATGTTATATGGCTGGGTATTTCACCTACCATTCAAAAAAATCCCGTGCTTGTCTGTCCTCCTCTATTAAAAAAAAATATATATATATTTTGAAGCAACCGCAAAACTTATATTAAAAATTGTGCCCCTATAAACTTTCAAGCTATCTCTCGCTTCAAATCGTCGCGAATATACAGACGGAGAATATCTTGGAAACTTTCATCCACCGCGAAGCCTAACTTCAAGCCGCGGGAATTATCAAACTTGCCGGGAAAGCTGGCGACGATGCGCGACTTAAAGTCATCACGCTCGTAACGCACCAGGCTCGCGACCTCCACCCCGGCCACGTCCCGCAATGCGTCTATCATTTCGCGTACAGTCACGCAGATTCCAGGTAAATTAATCACCCGCCACGCGCCCAAGAGGTCGCTGGGTACAATCGCCGCGTGAATTATATTCCTCACGACTGTACTTGGACTTGTCAGCAATAACTCCAGATCTTCGTCGACAGGGCACACAGCTGGCAGTCCGTTGAGTGGCTCCCTAATAATTCCGCTAGCAAAAGACGTGACCGCTCTATTTGGTGTTCCAGGCCGCACGCTGACTGTGGGTAATCTGACAATCCTTGTGTCCACGTAACCCTTCCGCCCATAATCATTTAGCAGCAGCTCGCACATGGCTTTCGCTGTCCCATAGGAGTTTTGGGGCTGAGTAGCGGTTCCATCACCGACTACACCGGGAAGATCACCGCCGAAGACGCCACAAGAGCTGGTAAAAATAAAACATATGTCCTTGAGCTTGCGTGCTCTTTCCGCTAGTGCGCGGGTTGCGTCAAAATTGACTAGCAACCCGTAATCGAAGTCCACTTCAGCGTGACCGCTTACCACTGCGGCAAGGTGGAAGACGATATTGGTGCCAGGTGGTATGACCTGTTCCGCAGCGTTCTCAGCACTAAGATCGACGGCGATGTTTTGGACTCGTACGTCATTGTACTTCGAAGGTTTGACACTGTCCACTAAAATTAATTTCGCGACAGACACTGGTGCGTCCTTAGAAAGTAAAACATCTGCGATTCGGGATCCCAAAAATCCCGCAGCTCCAGTCACGACTATGTTCATTGTACGCGAATTTAAAACTAATAATAGATATTTCATTTATTTAAACTCGACAAATAATACAAACACTGATAACGTCAGATAAATTATGTAAAATATATAACGCTATAATTTGAAATCATCTTTGTTTACGTCATCTTGTTCGTAAATATCGAGTTATCAGAAAATATTTGTGAACGAGAATTAAAATTAAACACGTTATACATTAGTCAACATATTTTTTACTACGAGCCGATGTTCTTCAAACCAGCTTCGGTAGATCGCTTAGTCGCAAATTATATTGTTAACTTTTGTTCATAGTTTTGCTTTGTTTACGTCGTTGGTAGTTAACTCAGTAAATAAAATCCTTTTACCGGTATAAAAACGCGTAAAAGTAACAGCACAGTAGGGTTGTAGTAATCAAAGTCGTCTTGATTTTTTGTAACTTATATATTTAGCGTTTTATCCGTCCAGTACGTAAAGAAAGCAATAAAAGTTACAAAGTGAAAAATGAGAATTTCATATTATATTCTGTTCCAGTTCCACTATTATTATGATGAAGGTAGACCTCAGAGAGAGGTGAGAGATCTCAGATGCTTTGTAGCAGCTGCAGTCATGAGAGGATCAAAAATGCTGGGTAGTTAAAAATAAATTTTAAATAAATTAAGTAATACATTTGAAAACATTAATATTTTTCACATGTTATTGCACATGAAGGCACTATATAATTTAAAAATCGAAAATAAATTGAAAAAATTTTCGACTCGGGCAGGACTTGAACCGGCATCGTCAGCTTAACCGCCTTAATACGCAAGTGTTAAGGTAGAAATTACATTGCGCGAGAGGTGCATGTATCAATAAGTTGAAAAAATTCGACGATGAGGTGTAGGACTCGGTAGCTCAATTGGTAGAGCAACAGCACGGAAAGCTGACGATGCCGGTTCAAGTCCTGCCCGAGTCGAAAATTTTTTCAATTTATTTTCGATTTTTAAATTAAGTAATACATTTCGCGTTTTTAAACCGTCGTGTGATTTATTTAAAAATAAGGGATTAGAGTTTAAATAAAAATTGTCAGTTTCTAAAGCTTGTTAGCGTTATTTTATGTATTGTATTAATTTATTCAAAAATAAGCATCATCATGCCGCCACATCCATTTTCTCTTATCAACGCACGTAGCGAAAGGTATTACTCTAGCTCCTTTTGCTGAAGCATGCCATATAGGCTTTCACATTGTATAGCTCCACCTGAAATTTTAAAGTTACATTATGTCAATAATGTTTACTTTCGAAATATAATTTAAATTGAAGTACACTTTCTAAGAGTTTACGCAGATAAAAATATTTATGAAATGGTTTAAATTATCATTTTAGATAAATTAACCAAACAAACATTCATAGTGGCTATGATCTATACGAATCTTATAAAGCTGAAGAGTTCGTTTGTTTAAACACCCTAATTTCAGAAAGTACTGGTTCGAATTAGGACCATTTATCGAGACTTTTACAAATCAGGTGAAAAATATGAGCAGTGGAAAATGTGACTATAACGGAAGTAATTATTTATCATTAGTAGTAGCAGCGTGCGCTACAAAAACCGTTTAAGATGCCCAAAAATATGTATAAAATAATTATTCTCCTTGAACTAATGTAAGAAAATGTCTGCAACAGTTTATATGTATCTTTCAAGATTAACTTGCAAGAACCCATTTTATGGGAATCAAACTTCGTCTTAATATATTAGATGTGCCTTAAACTAATTAGAGTTTTAAAATACCTTTTATTTGTTTCAGTATTTCATTTCTTATTTCGAGATCTTTCTCTGCTGATTGAATTTTTAATGCATACAGTTGTCTTTTAAAGTCGATCTCTTCTTGCAAGAGCGTTTCTTTCATTTCGTCTGTGTTCTCTTTTTTCTTATGAATATCCTCACTACTACTGCTTAGGCAAGATGTGGAGACAGTCTTATCGTACATTCGTGGCGCAGATTTTCTCTTGGGCCATTGTGATGAGTTTTCATTCTGGTTTTCCTCCTAGAAAATAAAAGGGTAAAAAATATAGTAATAACAATTGTCTTTAATAACAATTTAGTTGACTTGACAAAATATGAAACTATTTATTGAATACTAGCTGAGTCAGCGACTCCGTCCGCGTAGAATAGTTATTTTGGGCATCCAAAATTGTTTTTGGCGACTCGCGACCTGTCGTTCGGTTCTCATCTTGAGAGATAGACATATACTGTTGCGGATATTTTTTGGATATTTGAACGAAGAATCATTCTCTTATACATATTATTTTTTGTGTATATTGAACCGTTTTCGCAGCGTACGCATCGATAACCTACAAAGATGAATAATTTACCCCATTTTCAGCTGTTTCTAGTTTATTAGTCACAGCGCAATGTTTTATAGCCCCTTCCCCGACAAATGCTCTAACCAACAAAAAAAGAGTAGTGCGTTCAAACAAACCAACTCTTCAGCTTTATTTATTAGTATAAATTGTGAACATCTGAAATCGCTAGTTGGATAGTGCAACACCAACAACAAACTTCAAACTTATAAAGAGAATAAAATTTGTTATTATTACTATACGTTTTTTTTTATAAGCCATACATCTCACGATTTAATCAGCTTTTTTATTAGTATACCTTATTATAGGAGAAAAGTTCTGAATATCACTACATTTTTTAAAATGAGACTTTAAATGTGAATATGTGTAAAAATAACTGCCGCTCTTTTTTGCCAAAAAGGAAAACAAAAGAAACTAAGTCTTAAAATACCTTCAGTATAGGAATAACATTATAAGCACAATTTACTTACTTCTTTCGATGAGACCTCTTCAACAATGACAAGAGGCTCCTGAATATGATCTTGATAAGTCTGTTCATTGGAAGAGCCTTCATTAAAATCCATATCACAATCTGCAACACAAGCTCCCGAGCAACCACGGCCTAGTATGGAGCATACCAGGTCTAAGAAAGGGTCTTGTTTCGTGTCTTGGAGAGATGAAACATAGAGTTTGCTTTCAACCTTTAGTTGCTCCCATACTCTAATTAGAGATTCTTTTGATCTGTAATTGATTAGGTTCGTTTTAAATATACTCGTCAATGTCTAGTTGGTAAGTGGCCTGTAGCTAGAAACACAAATTGATTTATTACATTTGAACATATTTGTTGGGTGTCATTTATGGTACACCATTTCTTTAATAAGAAATTATCACTTCTGAAAAAATAATTTTACTTACTTAAACTATAATAAAAATTAAACAAACCTTTGTGAATGTCCTTGATGTGAAAATTTACTATGCCATTCAATTCTTTGCCTTGCTCTAAACCGGCGTTGTCGCTGTTTATTTAAATATCTTTTCCGTGCACGTTCATCTTCAACACTAAAATTGTTACATATCATTAGATATATAGCAGAATGATAATGCAGTATATGCTTATGTAATATAAAATTATTACTTTTCCAGTTGATCCTTACTAGATGTGTGAAGTGTATTGCTTGGCAGAGTAGCTGCTTCTATATGTTGCTGTTCACTTAATAATTTTCTACATTTTGTTTGCGGTTCAGCAATAGGATCGAGCTGATGTTTATTTATTTGTTGCGGTTGTTCTTGCTGTGGTTGATCATCGCTAGATTGACTGAACGCAGTGTTTTTATTCGCCTTTCTCTTTTCTCTGTATCTTTTTTGTCGTTCAGCGTTTGAATGTGGTCGCGTCTGTGATGAATGAATATTTCGGGGTTGCTGGTCCTGGTAATCATCTGCAATGACTTCCATTTTAATAGTGCTGAAAAGAATAATTTGTGAACATTGAATGATAAGTGGGAGAGAGAAAGCTGTTTGTTGTCTACACTTTTATAATCGTATTTTAAATATTGAAACAGTGATGTTGAAAAAAAACAAATTAAAATATACACTTATTGGTTATTGATACATCGTATTAGATCACTAAGCTTACCTTAAGTTAGTAGTATCTATAAAGTCCCGACGATCATCGTCCGCTTGTTTCATACTTTTCTAAACACTTTCAAAACCGGTGATAGTAGGGCCTGTTCCTGTGTTAAAATTCTATGCTGTCAACAACAGTGTTGCCAACTCGGACTTTTAAATTTTGACTCGTGTCGCCGTTTATCCTCTTGCCTTGTTTTATCTTGTAATTCGGTAGGAGTATCTCTTGCAATTCAACACTTTAATAAAATTGCACAGCACGCATCGATATCCTTTAAGAATGATTGTAATCGTTTTGTATATTTCCTAAATCTTGAATACGTCAGACATCTCTCCCTGATTATTTGAAACAGTATCTTTTATGAATTAGTTTGTAGTTTGTTTTTTAGTTCTCATTGTAGCGAGCTGTAAAAATTTCTTAGAGAGTTACTACCTACTTCAATGTACAATCAGAAAAGGATACTTACTTTATCTGTGACTATGGATATATACTTGATTTCTAGTAGTTCTGTGGATTGATCGACATTGATGTTGTTTTGTATTATTTGTATGGCGATTGGCGGTAACGAATTTTGCATTGTCTTGACAATTCTTCCCGAACTAATCATTGATTGAAAAAATAATTATTTGTAGGACTTATCTAGTATTTCATAATGAGTTTTTCATTTGGACAAGCGACTACCACTTCGGGAAGTACATTCGGAGCGAGTACCCCTGCGCAAGGTAAACTTTAAAATCTTTAGTGAATATTTTTTAAATATTGTAATGAAGCAGAAATAAAATCTTCTCATAGCTGATTTCTAAAGTTTTTACTATAATTCATTAGAGCTATTTTTTATATATCAAACGTAAACATATAATATAACCTAAAAGTTGAAGGTAGATACAATTTTATTGCAAATTTCCTATGTTCACTTTCCAGGATCTTTATTCGGCGGAGGAGATGCATCGAAGGCTACAGGTAAAACATAAGATTGAAGTTTAAAGGTTGTCCTTATTACATGATCATTGCCAATTTTTTTTTTGTACAGATAACAAACCAACAATATTCAGTGGAGGAGGAGCAAGTACTCCAGCATTCGGCGGCTTTGCCTTTGGTGCTAAGACTACAGCTACTACTTCTAACTTGTGTAAGATTAGTCTTATAATAAAAATTATACTAGTATTTTGCTAAATATGTTAATTGCTTTGTAATGTTCTATTTGGTTTAACCTATTAACTGATTAGTGATGTATACCTTTTTTGAGACTCCTTTCTATGCCTAAACTAAATTATTATGTAAGCACTGGCTTGCATTGATTTTAAATCATTCCTTAATTTATTTTGTTAAAATGCCTCATGACATAAACAACTTGAATAAGAAAAAGACATGATTTTTAATGTTATTCTATTACAGTTTCAACACCAACGACAAGCAGCACAACAGCATTCGGTGGAAACAAACCATTGAATTTCAGTTTTTCAAGTCCTCCAAATCAGACAGTTGGTAGCCCTGGCTTTGGAGCACCTGCTAATCAAGTACTAAAATTTTTATAATATATGAACATTTATAGAACTGCCATTTAAAATATTTCAACTACCAGACTGGGATTAAAGTAGAAAGTATCTCATTCTTGCGCCCAAAGATTAGTAGTAGAATAAAAGTCTAGCAATCTGTACTTTCAAAAGATATTAAACTTAATTGCAAAAAGATTCCTCCATAAAGAATTTTTTTTTTCAGAATGCCAGTGCCAATCTATCCTTTGGTGGCAGTACCCCATTTGGTTCACCAACTACTACTACACAAGGTATGCACCTTTTCTTATACTTAAATTTATAATCTACAGTAGGTACCTTAGAATTCAGCACAGTGATTTGTATTAGATCTTAAGTCTTCTTATTTATTATATTAATGTTAATAAATTTTCCAAAAAAGGAGTGAAGCCTTTTTAATATAAATAGCGATTGTTCTTGGAGCAAGTCATATCACAGCCAACCTTTGAAACAACCTAAATATTATGACTTTTATGACCTTATAAAAGAACTAATTATTAATGAAAAATATTTTTAGCATCTACAGGTCCATCTTTTGGTACTCCATCTACCACTTCTGGTTTTGCTTTTGGTAAGGCTACCACTGGGTTTGGCTTTACAACACCAACATCTGGCTTTTCTGCACCCCAAACAACTGTTGCAAGTGTGAGTGTCCAAACTATTCCTATCAAGAACCACATTTTAAAGAAGTAAGATTAGAAGTTAATATTTCTTATAGGATATAAAACATACATGTAATAAAGGAAAAGAAAATATAGTCTTGTACAATTTTAAATTTAACTTACTTTATTCAGACAACAAGCCAGCCGACTCAGGGCACAACTAGTGGATTTGGGCAGAGTGCGTTTGGCAGCAAAGGTTTCAGTTTTGGCAATACTGCAAATGCTGCCACTGGTGCCACTACAACACCAGGTGAGATGATCCGAAGGCCCATTATAATGTTATTCAAATAAATATGAATCATTTTCTATTGTAAGAATGTTTTGTAAATATAAAAATCTAAATAATATTAAAATCTCTCATTTACATGCATGCTGTGGCTAAAATTACCATTTTTAATATGTACTTCTTTTTTCATTAATATTTTCTTTTCAGCGCCTGCCTTTGGTAGTGTACGAGCACAACCAACATTATCCTTCGGCACAACCACAACTCAGCCACAGACAACACAAAATCCGCCAAGCTTCGGGTTTTCAGCTACACAGCCCGTAAAACAAGAAACCACACAGTCCAGTTTCTTTCAGAACCAACAACTAGCACAATTAACGTCACAAGCTGGATCTGCATTCGGCACTGGATTTGGAGCACTTCAAACTCAAGCTAGTATTCAACCTACTGGTTTTACCGGCCAGCCCAGTGGTTTCACCAGTCAGCCATCTGGTTTTCAGAGTACAGGACTAGGTACTAGTACTGCTTCAGGCCTTAGTCTGGGAAGTAATACTTCAACAGGATTAAACTTGGGTTCTACCGTACCCAATATGGGAACTTCTGCTGGAACTACCATAGGTACTAGCACTGGAATTAACTTAGGCACTAGTGCACCTACACTAGGTACCACAGGAGGCACCATTAAAACTGGATTTGCATTTGGTACAGCCACATCTAGTGGACCGAGCCTAGGTAATACTTCCGCAGCACTTATTTTGGGCGCCAGTACTTCAACGCCATTTAGTTTGGGTGGTGCCACTTCAAAACCTCTAAGTACAATTGGCACTGGCACTGCCGTATCTTCAGGATTCAGTTTGGCACCTACCACATCCAGTGGAATAAATTTTGGAACAACCACTAGCGGTCTCAGTTTGGGATCTACTACGTCAACTGGACTTAATTTAGGAGCTACACCATCAACTGGGCTAAAATTGGGGACTACACCAACTGGCCTTAATTTGGGGACTACACCAACTGGCCTTAATTTGGGGACTAGTACTGCGCCAGGACTTAATCTAGGAACAAGTACCCCTCTGGGACTGGGGACTAGTACTTCAGCTGGAATAAGTTTGGGGACTACTACTTCAACTGGATTAAATTTGGGTACTAGTACTTCATCTGGACTAATACTCGGAACTAGCACATCGTCTGGCCTTGGTCTTGGGACTAGTACTGGCCTAGGATTTACATCGACAGCCTCAACGCTCAGTTTTGGAAAAACCACAGCTGCTACCACTTCAGTTTGTAAGTATTATTTCAGGACCTTAATTTCTAATATTGTTTTTCTTCTCTTTTTTTTAGATCTTTTTTTTTAATTCTGGAATAGTTTAATAGTCAATGTCAGCTGTCTGTTGTAATTAGTTGTTAAGTCAAAAGTTTGTATGAAATTTTTAGTTTTTTCCATTTGAAATATAATGGTTTTGTTTAAATATGTGATATATAATTTACAGCAACCACAACTGTCTCTGGTATAACAGCTCTTGGTAAATCGACTGCATCTACCATGCCGTCACTTACTACCGCTACAACGTAAGTTCATTAATAGTATTGAAAGCATAGTAACTAATTTTATACAAGTAGGGGGCTTTAGTATATATCCCCTGGAACACTAGCACAAATATAAGGAACGCATGCTAGAATTTGCAAACTCTTGTTGCGCTAGTGTGGTTAGTGAATTCCTCCATCCTTAAAGAAGTCTAGTTATGAGAACTTACTGAGCTGACGATATAATGCCTAAATACGTAACACTAATCCAATGTATGAATTCATTAATGTAAAGCTTACACCTTACAGTACAGTATCATCAGCGCCGCCAGCAGCGATTTCATCTATCTCTTTCGCCCAATTGGAGGAAAACATTAACAAGTGGACCCTTGAACTTGAAGAACAGGAGAAGACCTTTATCCACCAAGCCACGCAGATTAACGCATGGGATCGTCTGCTTATCGCTAATGGAGAGAAGGTTGAGATTACTCATTTTTAATGAGTACCATTTCTTGCTACTTAAGATGCAATAAAAGCTAGAGTTAAATCTTTATTTTTCATTCATCTTTTCAATGACTATCGAAGAATTAAAAAAATTTCAGATAGTGGAACTGAACGAAGCGGTGGAAACGGTTAAGAACGAACAACAGAGCCTCGAACACGAACTTGACTTTGTGTTAGGACAGCAAAAAGAGTTAGAAGAGTTGTTGGCACCGCTTGAGAAGCAGTTAAGAGATGATGGCGATAGAGTCCGAGATCCAGAAAGAGAGCACATGTAAGTCTGAAACTTTGTTATTGACAAAGAATAACTGTATATAATCACATACTCATTTATTTTTTTGTTCATATATTCATAGCTTTTGTTATATAATATATTAAGTTTCTTTGTTTACTGGGCCATTATTGAAATAATGAATATTAAATATTAATTTTTACATAACAGGTACACCCTTGCTGAAAATCTGGACAGCCAATTGAGACAAATGTCTGAAGATTTAAAGGAAGTGATTGAACACCTCAATGAGACAAACAGAAGTCAGGACGGCAATGACCCGGTCAGTAAATAATAATGAATTTATTGAATACATTCCCATTTATGAACAAAAACAAATTATACAACTTATTCTAAGTAGGAAGTATATATAGTGGTTTACCCTAACATTATAACCGATGAAATCTTATTATATTGTGTAATTTCTATGCTTTTCCAATTCTGTTCTAATTAATCAAATCAAATTTGCTTTAACTAGTTTTCTTCTTTTCTCTTCCAGATTGTCCAAATAGGCCGCATATTAAACGCGCACATGTCTTCTATGCAATGGATAGACAATTCGATAGCGCAGATTTCAACCAAATTAGATCACTTAAAAGCAACGCACGACACGCTAAGAAGAGATAACGAAAGATCATTCCAATTGACTTATAGCTAATGTATCGAGTCCAATGATTTTGTTTACTTACCACATGATACTAATTTTTGTCTGCCTAGCTGGCCTGCAATTCGTCAAGTATATTTTTTTCTCTTTATTCATTAAAGAGATAAAGATTTAGAAAACTTCATTATTTTTTTTTAACATGTGAAAATATATTGAAAAAATTTTCGGCTCGGGCAGGACTTGAACCGGCATCGTCAGCGTTCTGTGCTGTTGCTCTACCAATTGAGCTACCAAGTCCTACCAATTGGTAGAGCAACAGAACGCTGACGATGCCGGTTCAAGTCCTGCCCGAGTCGAAAATTTTTTCAATTATTTTTCGATTTTTTTAAATAAAGATTTGTTTTCTGAAAGTATATTTCACGGAATTCAGCAAAGTTATAATTTTTCCATGAGAACCAATCTCTAAAATGGCACCTGAAAATTCTTTGGAAGTATAATAGATATTGTTTAATAAATGTGATTTTTGCAATGCAAATTTCATTTTACTTATTGTTTTACAGTAATATAAGAAAATTACTATATAGTTAATTTAAGTGTGTTTACACACATATATTTTGGCCAACGGTAGCTAGGGTATTTGTCCTTTATAAAAAAAAATCAACAGCACTTTGTTTAATACATTTTGCTGAAGTTTTATATTGTTGTTTATTCAGCTGCTTGTATTTCTGGTCATAATTATAACAACAGAACCAATTTTGACAGAACTTTAGAAGGGAAACAGGTACATAGGTAAATAAATAACAAGATGTCGAAATATTTTAGTAAACTACCACCAGGGTTTTCAATTTCAAAAGAGTAAAGTCCTAGACCATAACAAAAATTGTGTGAACATATAACATCTGTTTTTGTTATAACTTATTATTATCTTTTTATACTATTACCTTATTTTACTTTAACTGACGCCCGATATTTCGGATACATTACATTACACATAAGCCTTGGTCCCCTTGTAAAAAAAAAAGTTAATTAATATATTCGCGTTTTAAACGCTCAAAAGTGTTTTTATATATACAATATCAAAAATTTCAATATACAATTCCAGTTATAAAACACTGTAACTTAACATTCTCCTCGGTCTGTAGGCATAATATAACCAATTTCTTATTGACAATAGAACAAACAGTGGCGTTATGTGATATCTGGTCAGCACTGAGAAACATAGAGAATTTTTTAGTGTCCACTCTACAGTAGCACGTTTTTGATATATCTTCTATTGTTTGAGTTTCTGTTTCTGAATCTGAGTGATCTATTGGACCTGAAATATTAAAGTAAATGCATGATAAATTATTATTCTTGAATAGCTCTATATAGATATCTCTATATAGCTCTGTATAACATATGAATTTATTTATTTATTTATTAACTTTATTAATTTATTATGCTTTATATTGTTTACTGTTAGCAATACAAGATTTCAAGAAATAATGAATCAAGATTCCAAGTCCAACTGTATGTTGTGCATTTAGCCAGCATAGAGCTAGCATGTGTAATAAAATTTAATCTAAACTAGAATTTTACTCATAAATCAGCCTTACCTTCAAACGCCATTACCCTCAAGTCCTTAAACCGTGTAGAAACTTTAGCCATGTCCGTTTTAATCTGTAATGTTAATCTCCCCTCGGCAGAAGCTCTTATAACAACTTCAGGGCACATACCCTTCATTCTGTCTATTGTTGTACGAAGTTGCTTTAACGCTGGCAATTCTATGGACATCTGAAACATTATTATTATTTTCTCTCGGGGACACCTGTGGTAGGACGGGTGATCAGTTCACACTATCAGCTGACCATTTCACCCATTTCCCCATTAGATTAAAAATTGAAAAAAAATCCAACCCTCCCCTGTTGTTGCCCTAAACAATTAAGCAACCGAGTCATACAAAGTGAAACATGTTAATATTACATAATAACTAAGTGAGAAATGATGGATGAGATTGTGTTTAACAAACAGACAGACTTCTTACATCAGGCTGTGGAATCCTCGGCTCATGAAATTCTGACCAGAGCTTTCGTGGTATCACAATAACTGGAATGTCATGTGTCACTTGTCTTGTTTGCTGAGAAGTTGATGATGGCTGGAAAATAGTAAAATAATGTATAAGCTTCGACCAGAACTACTGTTAAGCATCAGATATGATGTTGTAGAGAATAACAAGTTTCCTAAAATATTTAGCATTTTAAACTATTAAATGTTTCATTTTAACATTTAACTATCAAATACTACAGTATAATATTACATTAATGAAATATTAATAAACTTACAAACTGTCTCTGTACAATTAATTTAGTATCCTTAGAAGACATAGAAGAAGTATACTAAATATATTAATGTACTCACAGTTTCAATTTCTAGAGTTAGACATGGACATTGCTTTTTAGTAAGTTTCATCTTAAGACATTTTGCTGTTTTCAAGGTAGCTAGTGACTTGGATAAATTTGCTAGAAACAAGAAATAGAAAAACAATATTTATAAATTAGCTAAAGCATGTAATCTTGAAAAGAATACTTCCACTTCCCATTTTTGGGGTATAACTATTATGATTTTCTATTGGGGACACAGATAGAAGGCCAGGTGATCAGTTAACATTTTTTTCTAGACTAAAGACTTTTATCTAAATCTAACTCTGTGCACTTCAAACTATTCACTTTCTTTAAAAGATCTTATAATTTGTTCCATCTTTAATTCTTTGATATCTACCATATTGATTTCCTTAAATTTGAGTATTTATAACATATTCAGATAGTAGATAGACACTTTTTAGATAATACACATGCTGTTATACAAGCAAGAATGCTTGATTACTTTAAAAAAAACGTACTGTCATACTTTTTGGAATACATATAATATTATGCTTGATTGTATGTAACTTTTACACTTACCGGAGACTAGCCCCAAGTATATATCTCTGTACTCATCATCTACGCCAACTATTTGATATTCAGAGAAGAATGTATCTTGGGGTATTTCACACCACAACATTGGTGGCGATGGACCACTATTGTCTTCACTCACGATAAAATACAGTTTTTCTGTTGATAATCTTAGGACACACTCCTTAGATAATTTCGATATTGTCGAAACGATATCTGAAAGAGACGATAGAGCTGCTTCATATAAGTTAAAGGTAGGAAGAAACCAAAAATATCAGTAAAAAGTTACTTGTAAACTCTCGCATCGGTCCGGTATCTACCATAACAGCTCGGAACTTCATAGTTTCAGCAAATATGTGGTAAAAATATTTTATGATGAATAATTTCTACTAACTTATTATACTTTTTGTATTTTTACAAGTTCCAATAATTTAACCGCGGAATATATTTAAAAAATCAAAACAAAGCTGATACGTCATAACCAAGATAGTCTGTATCAAGTGTGTGTCATGCAGATAATGAAATACATTAGTGATGTAGCGTTAATATCATTGTTTCATACAGTTTCATGTAGTTTAGCCTAATTATTGACTAGCTTCAGCTTATAACTAAATAAAATGTGGTTATAGAAAAACGTTACTTTTTCTATACATTCGTTGTGAATAAAGAAAAATACAAAACTGCATTTGGGTTTAGGTGTCGACACTAAACTATTATTCTTTTTTTTTACTAGCAATATTATCCATAGACTACGTATAGCGTTTCCTTCAAAGATGGCGTTTGATGAATAAATATATCTAACCCATACCAAAGTTTATTTACGGAATTGTATTGCTATCTCTTTTGTACCTATGGCACTTAAATGCAACGAATGAAATGCAAAATGCCCTCGTTTGATTGTAACGAATATTAACGTACAGTGATTATTTTTGCAAAATTTGATTTGTATTTGATTTTACTGTGAAATAAAAAATTTAACAACGACAGTATATACGACACAATTTTAAACATTAACTGTACTTCGTCGGGGCAGGTATATTATGGACAAGAATATATTAACAAGGTATGTTATGGAACGAGGTACGATCAATATTGAGTAACGTCACAGCATAACCACAAAATATAAGAGAAATACATTTTTATAGCCTTATTAGGCCTTCTAATCGCTTGCTAATATTATTTTCAATATTTTCTGGTTCCTATTCATTTTAATTCGACATTATTTAAGTTTTATTCTTGGGGTTTGACTATGCAAAATCATAAAATTCGTTTTTAACGTCTTTCTTATTCGATCTTTAAATTTAATATTTTAACGGCTTATTACTTTTTAAATATCAACGTTGACATATAATATTTTTAAGTATTATGATCGCGTTTACTACGTTTTTGATTCGTTTTCATATCATGAAATGCATTTACAAAATACGACGTTCTTTCAATAAGGTGAGTTCAATGCCGTCTACGATTATGCAATACTAAACTCTAATGACGCTTACAAACAGTTAGATAGTAAGCAAGTACTGTTATAAAAATGGTTTAATAATACTTTTAGGTTTAAAATAGCCAGATTTTTATTCACTACTACGTATCTGGTTATCGCATATTTTGATAAAATTGCGTTATCAGAGTTTTAAGGTTAAACAGGCTTCAAAATTTCGTTGTCACATATTTCCAATAGGAAGGAGCGTAAATATCACATGTTTATTCCAAAATAAGGTTTAAAGGAGTAGAGATTTAAGAATATTTGGTATTTCCGGAATATTATTTAAAAGTATAGAGTAACCAGAGAAATTGTATCCACTTAAATCAGAAAATGCATCCGTTAAAATCTTACTTATGCATATATACCTTTCTATATAATATTTTTAACTAGTACCACATGAATAAATGATTTTCGACTTTACTTTATCAACTCTCATTTCAAAACTAATAATTGCTAAGTAACTGAGTTTTGTCGTATTTTTTTCAGCACAGATCAAGGGACAAAATCATATCTTCAGTTTCAAATAGAAAGGCTGAAAGTTTTAAAAGCGAAGCTTAACAAGGAAGAGGACACCGATTTTGCTGTAGTTAAAGAAGAGCCGTAAGTAAAAAAATATACCTACTCAATTCAGTAGGCGACATTCGACATTAGTGTAATCGTGGGGTGACATAAAAAGTCGTATATTTGTAATGGTTTTCAATTTTACTATCGTGAACGTGTACTTAAAAACAACGAATCTTAAATACAACCTTTTCTATTGTCCATATATTAGTTGCTTATTAATGATTTTTTATAGTTGTCAACCTCTTATATTTTCAGCATTAATTATAAATTATTGCATATAGGTAATTGTTCGAATATCTTTTACAGTTCATTGTAATAATTGGAATAAGTACGGATTTACTGTTTTTTGTAAAAAACGACAAAAAGATAAGCGTGTAGGTATTTAATTTATAGAAATGTTTTTTTACAAAAGCTGTACTCGCGACAAAACAAGGGTAATACGGCCCCTCAGGCCCCATCGGCACGGGGTCGCGGAGGGACAGCAAAGCTTGAAGCTTGCTGGTTTCCGCTATCGCTAGGCTTTCGTTCAATAACATCAGTCAGTCCGGCTCCGCGCGCGCTACGGCCGTGATTCGCCGTGTGGTGCGAGTATATCCTAAAAAGGATTTCTAAATTATTTTAGTCTATGGTTCCCATTATTTTCGCGCCAATTTTTTTTCTAGAGAAATAATGTTTTTGTAGGTTAGCTAAAATTATGATTGCGGTCGCGTTTCGATACTAAAAATTGTGTTGTTTTTAATGATGTTACTTAAGTCAAGTAATGATAAGGGTGGTTTATTTCGTCACACGCATCTCGATTAGTGTTTAAGCGATGCAATATCAAAATATTGAGGATGATGAGTTCGAATATCGGATTTTTGGTGAATCCTACCACATTCCTTCGGAGAAAAAATCAGCCGGCCGGCGAAGAAAGTGAGTCCGATTTTCTTTTCATTTGTCGAGTGTCTTAAAGACTAGAAAACTTTTTTTAACCTTCTTAAACTTAACTTCTCATCGTCTATACTACTTTAGCTGGTATTGTTGTATTCGTATCACGTGTCATCTGAATCATGTTATTCAGAACTATATTTTAAGCTCCCAAGTTGGTAAAGTTTTTACACCTACTTAAAAATAAATTACGAATAGTTTATATATGCAGTTAGTATGTAGGTGTTGAAGAAGAACATAAGAAATTTGTACAATACTGCAAAGGGTAGTTCAAATTTTATGGTATATCAATTGAGAAAGATAGGAATACATTTATTTACAAAAACTGATTAACAAATATGTACCAACCTCTCAGCATAAGATAAAAAGCTACCGTTGCTGCTAAATTGTGTTTTGACTATCCAACTAACATCTAGACATCATTTCTTTCTAAAATTTAGCATTAAAAATTTAAATTTACTAGTAATATGTAAAGATAATATAATTATTATAAAAATGAGTGTTATTTGTTGTTTTAAATGCAATTTTGTTTATGTTTTTATGGTAACTTCATTTCATTATTATATGAAATGTTTGCACTTTTCAATACTACATTAAGATATTGTAGCGAGATAAGCCTTTTTACATAACAATCTTAGTATTTATAAATTATTTAATGAAATTTTTAGTACTTAATATATATCACAAATTAGTATAGTGTTTTTTATAAAGAAAATAATTAAAGATTAAGAATGGTTCTATGTTAGTATAATATTTATTTAATTCTTCATTGCAACACACACAAGTATGCTGACAATTATTTATAAAAACTACATACATGAATGGTTAAAGTTATATAGATTTAGCAACATCGATTTACTAATTACATTACATGTTGGTTAGCTTCGCCTTTTTATTTGTTATTAGTTCTAGCAATCTGTAGATGCTAGACCATCAATTGATTTTTAAGGGTGTGAGTAGAATAACCAATATTTTATATATGTACAGAGTATTCAAAGTTATGTATGACTGTAGAATAGTTCTCTAAGTCAGTAGAGATCCAATAATTACAATATGGGAGGTCTTGTTGTTGACGAGCAGCACAAGATCACAACTCAACAAGACAATTTCTTATCCTCTATATACTTAAGAAATTTACTAATTAAATACTGTCTAGTTTACGCGAGTAGTACACATTTAAATAAAATACTTTAACGGTTTTTAACGCGGTATATTAGTTAAACTAATTTGAAAATGATTTTTAACTAATATATCGCGTTTTAAACCGTTAAAGTGTTTTATTTAAAAGTTTACTAATTGTCATACACTACCAAAATTGCAAGCGCAGGAGCCGGAATTGTCACGCGACCGGTTTATTGAATAAAAAATAACCCTGACAGACTGAATTGGGTGGGTTTATATTTTGTACTATCTTAACCCCTTTTTTCATATATTGTAAGACGAGTTCAGAAATCTTGTCAGTCCACTCAATAGATACTTATTTATATTATAAGTACATATGAAAATAAGCACAGATCAGCTACAGAATTTTTTAAGTATAATTCCTTGTTTAAAACACATTTATATTATAAGAATTTACATACAAACTTTCATCCCCCTTTTCAAACCCTATCAACCCTTTTCTGGCATTAAAAAGTAGGATATGTCCTTTCTCTTAAGTATCTGTGTATCATATTTCATTTAAATTAGTTCAGTAGTTTTGAAGTTAAAGCCGGACATACAGACAGACTTTTGCATTTAGAATATTAGTAAGATTTAAAAAAGTCGCGTTTTACAAAAGCCGCGTGGCATTTTTTGCTAATAGTAGCCATTCATTTAGTCAAATTGAAATAAAACGCCGACCTTCAACTCCGGATTATCCTGCGTGCTTACCGAAACCTTGAATCTTGCCAAGGTCTCACGTACGTACCTTGAAAGATGCCTTTAGGATTGTTGGGCAAAAAGTTATAACCATGTATTAGAAGTTAAAAACTCATACTACATCAAGGTATGTCAAAGATATAACAGGCTATAGTTGAGTTCTTAATGTTTTTTAGTTCGCCTTGTGAATTTCACATGCTTTTAAAAGCACTTTTAATGTATTACACGTGGAAAGTATTCGTTGTTTTAATTTTAAATGCGATCCTACATTCCAAATTCTTTACAGCAGTCGTGGTGACGTGGTGACATAATTTATAATCAAGCAATATATTTCCCATTTTAAACCGTTAAAAGTATTATGTTGTGCACCACATACATCAACTGCACAAAATATCGAATCACTGTATAGTTATTTGATTATTTTTTAGTAAAACAAAATATGTATGTATTTCTTTTTCTTTGGACCTGATAAATATCAAGTAGATATAAGACGTAGCAACTAGTTTATACGTACTACTTTAAAACAAGAAGAAACATCTATATATTAGTAAATATCTATTTTTAGTTAAATAATTATTAAATATCTATGTTGAGTTCAAAAGAATTAGGTACATAAATTTAATCTTCAAATTTATGTAGTCATACCTGACATTAGTCTACTAGTTTTGATAAGACACTTTGTTATGCCCATTTTAACGTTTCCGGCCATGAAACGAGTTATACATATATTCTAATCACGTTTTTACAGCATTCATCGTAAAGAATTGTCGATAAGTATTTATCTAAATTTCTCACAGTATCTTACATCATTCATAATTTTGAAGATTAATGATCTAGTGAAAAAACATGAAACGTGTTATGTTTATTTTAGTCCAGTGTCCCGTGTTAAGGATGTTTTAGACATCATAATGCGTATTAAATTAATGCCTTATAGATTCTGATACGTATGTTTTCCCTTAAATAAAATGTTTTTAATGGTTTATAACGTAAAATACATTAAAACCCTTTCAACTTCGAAGTACATTTTTGTCCAATATCTTAATGTTGCTCCCTAAAAATAATTGTAAATAATTTAAGATAACCTCTAATACCAGTTTTTGAATACATATTACATAAGGATTATTTTAATGCCCCTAATATTTTTTTTACATCTTAATGTACATGTAATGGTACTAACAGAACCTAGAAAGGGTATACAAAGAAAACTTAAGCTTAAATCAGAGTTCCTTATCCTTTTTAACCTTGAATGAGAATTTAGTAAAAGCCAGTTAGCCCTAAAATAAATCAATGCTATAAAGTTAATTATAAAATCAATTTGAAATGGCTGCCTAAGCTTTACTATCGCAATATACCTTAACTAGCTGTGCCAGCGACTTCGTCCTCGGGAATCGTCCAAATTAGGTTTTGGAAACCCCGTCATCTTTATAATCTTAAGCTGTTAGCCACGACGTCGATCGCGTCTTTTTTTAGATCATTTAAAGAGGAATCATTCTTTCATATACGTTTTTTAGGTATCTTGAATCGTTTTCGCCGCGTACGCAACTGAAACCCACATGGATGTAAAATTTCCCCCGTTTTGTTCACTTTTCACGCTGTATCTTCGCTTCTATTAATCTTCTCGATAAATGTTCTAACCAACACAAAAATAATTTTTCAATTCGAACCCGTAGTTCCTAAGATTAGCGCGTTCAAACAAACAAACTCTTCAAACGTATAGATTAAAAAAAAAACCATTGCACCATAAAATCGCATTTGTTATTACTTATTACCATAAAAGAAATGTCTTTTTCATGTGAGAACATGTAGGTTGACCGACCCCTCTTTTTCCTAGGGGTAAACGACCAATGACCGAGGGTGGCACCCCCGAAGGTACCATAATTACTTCACGTGCATCTGCAGATGGCAGACAAGGTGTAAGCCAGTGATGACCTTTGTGTATCGATAAAATATTGATATTAGGTAAAGCTAATGTTAAAATAAGAATTTATGAAACTATTGTCGCTGTTAGTTAGTGCTGATATACTGGGCAATACAATAAAGATGAGGACTTAGTTAGCTCTTAATTAGACACATTAGATATTTGCGATTAGTTTATATATTATTAACTACAGTTAACATGAATATATATACAACTTTAGACTTTGTTAATATGTATGTTAATCCATCACATTTTCCAAAATTCTAAGGAAAAAGTTTGTGACATTTCGATATTGCTAACTTACATCGTTAGTTTGGGCGAGTTTCAGCAA